ATCGGGATAAACCATGCTTAGTGCCTTGAAGCCTTCTCAATCCAAAGCTAATTCCACATTTCATTATGATGTTTTGTTTGGCAATTCAATGTATTGCCTCCCAATCTACTAAAATATTTTTGAGTAAAATAAGATTGCTTTTTTTTTTTTTGCTAAAATTGTTTATCATTATAATTTTGTTTAAAAAGATGTAGACAGGGATCGTCTTTTTTGACTTCTTATGGGGGATAAATATCACAGTGTAGATGTATAGTTTTGTAAATTTTGCCTTTTGATATTAAATGCAACATGCAGGTTTCAAGGTAACTTAAGAAGAAGCAACCAATTACGAATAATTAGGATCTCCAAATTTTATGGTATGAAGCCCAGCAAATTTAGCAGACTAGGTCTATTATGTCGACTCTAGATGCGGAGCAATAGAACCTTGAGTGGGTTGGATATCAATCCCTTCATCTCCTCTATAATAACAACTACTAACTTGGGAGTACATGTGATATTCTTAACTATTATTTATTTATGAGCATATATGTAATTAATTATGAGGTTTGCACCTATGAAAAACCTTAATCCTCCAAATTTTAAATAAATAACAATCAAATGAATGAAGAAAATATCTATGAAACTTCAAAAAAATCTACCTTTGTAATACCGTGATGCTCCAAAATAGTAGAACAGAAAAAAGAAACCGCAAGTGTGTCAGCCTTTCAGAGTTACAAGGCTATATTATATAGAGGGGCGTTGATGAGCAAAAAACATGACTAAAAAAATATTTGATTATTTCCATCATTAGTATTTTTGGAACTTTTCAAGTATTAATTACAAGTAAAATGTTTTATTTCCTTTATTTATGAATGCAATAAAATAACATAATTATTTATCGAAAAAGAAAAATCTGAAATAAGCATTATTCTTTTCATCTTTCACAAATTGATAAACAACCAATTTGGGAATTATATTAAAAGAGTTGACTCACAATAAAAAAGACTACTTTAAATAAACTATTTATTTCTTGGAGAAGGAAGGGATTATGAATGAGTTTTCTTGAGTTGATACATCTAAATATAATGAAATTCTTGAAGAAAAAAAAGACATTATTCAATATTTCATGAGCTCTATCATTTCAAAATAAAGGTCGAAGTACCTTCTGGCAGATGTTTTAAAAACATCATAGTTAGTAAAATGGATTCATTTAGAATGTTAGGATATCAAAGTTCAATAAATATGTTTATTTCACGATGATTTTAAAGAATAAGAAAAAATTCCACCCAAAGTTTTCAAATGTATCTCATGTGGGTATATTCATATTAACATAAAGTAAATTTAATCCAAGAGCACTAAAATATGTGTTTTTAGTATTTAACCACTAAAAAGTTTATAAGTATTTTCATTTGACCATAAAAAAATATATATATTGCATGGATATTTCCTTCCTTGAAAACAAATCCCTTCTTTTAGGATTCCTATCTTCAAAGGGAAAGAACATCAAAGGAAGACGTGAAACTCTTTCACCTTTCACAAAATTGCAATAACTAGATCCTCAATAGTAGATAATTTTGCCTCAAACACAACAGTAACTTCGACAATCAAACCTAAAATTGAATCTCAATTATCTAATAAAATATCTATAGTTGAATTTGAATCAACAGATGAAATTGAAAATACACATTGTATGTCACCACTCCACTTCAAGATCATTAAAGAAATTTCTTATTTTAAGGCCCATGTAAATTAAAAATTCAAATTAGGTATCGAATTTGTTACTTCAACTTTGTTGATAATAAAATTGTCACCAATTTGTATCAAATCCACCCTTTCATTATAAATGATGTACCTGCCCCCAAATAAATGTGTTGGTTGTAATCATGGAAGGAACCAAAAATTGCACCAAACATCTAATCTTCTACTTTGTATCGTTCCTTGTGTTATTCCCATAATCTAAAAGCTTCTTTACCATCTTAAACAATGTTTACATTTCTCGACCAATACAGGAGGCACTAAAGAATAAAAATTTGATACAAGTCACCGAATGATGAGAAACTAGTGGGGGTAAACAAATTTATGCCTTGAGTCAAACGATGATGTGACTTTAGAAAGGTACAAAATTAAGTTAGGTGTTTAAAGGTATATCCAAATATATGGAATAGATTACTAAGAAATAATTGCTCATGTAGCAAAATTGAATATAATGTGGGTCATAGAACCTTTAGCTCTCTTTACATTCCTCATATTATTCCCATAAAATAAAAGCGTCTTTACCATCTTAAGCTCTATTTATATTCCTTGATCAATGCAAAAGGAATACCCAAATCTATGGAATATATGACCAAGAGATATTTGCTCATGTAGCAAAATTTTATATAATGTGGGTCATGTAGCCTTTAGCTCTGTTTACATTCCTCATATTATTCCCATAATATAAAAGCTTCTTTACCATCGTAAGCTCTGTTTACATTCCTCGATCAATAGAAGAGGCACTAAAGAATGAAAATTTGATACAGATCACTGAATGATGAGAAAATAGTAAGAGTAAACAAATGTATGCATGTGACCTTAGAAAGGTACAAACCAAGTTAGGTGTTAAAAGGTTATCCAAAATTATGAAATAGATTACGAAGAGATATTTGCTCATGTAGCAAAATTGAAAATAATGTGCGCATAGTCTTTAGCTTTCATTTTTTACTGTATCCAAAAAACATCTTGCAAGGTGAGTTCATGGGGCAGGGGTTCATAAAACCCCAAATTGGATTCAATGAGAATTATAATAATAGTAAAAAATGTAAGTTGAAGAAAGCGCGATTTAAATTAAAGCAATTTGCAGTAGCAAAATTTGGAAGATTCACAAAAAGCTATCCTTGCAATAGGTACAAGAAAAATCAAGCGGGGCATACTTTCTTAATAGAGAAGCCCACAATATAAGTTATTGCCTTGCTCTTATATGTGCATGATATTATAGTAACATGTATAGCCCAATTAAAAAATATTCTCTCAAAAAATATTTCCTTGACAAACAGTTTGAGAGTAAATAATTTGGAAGGGTAAAGTGATTTGTGGGAATCAAAGTGAAATATTCCAAAAAAAAAGCAAACCATATTTATTTCTCAATAGAATATGTGTTTGTTGAATCTCCAACTATTGAAAATGACATCTAGTTGTTCCGCATCTTTAACACCCACTAAATCTAATCATTAATTCAATGAAATAAAAGATGATATCATAGACTAATAAGGAGATTGATACATATACCATACATAAGAGGATAAAGCTTTTGGTATCAATAAAAGTCAATTCATGTATGATCCCAAGGAAGGCCACTAGCAAGTTATCCAAAAAATTCTATGTTGTCTCAAGGTCACGCCATGATGAGTGATTTTATTCAATAGAAATAATGAGCTTGACTTGCAGCATAACATAAATGCTGACTATGCTAAGATTTATTATAGATAGATGATCTACATCAATTTATTATACTTTCCTTGAAGAAAATCTTATTACACACAAAAGTATGAAACAAACTGTCATTTTAAGCTTAGTTGTTAAAACCATGTTTAGAGACATGGCTCTCAAAATCTGTAGATTTCAATAGCTAAAGATAATTCTTGGTGATCTTAATATAAAGATTAATGCTCAATGTAACTCTTATGTAAAAACGAATTTGTCATCATTATTGCATACAATATTGTATGACATGACCACAACAAGTTGATAGAAAATTCATACAAGAAAAAAATGGAAAGGCTTGACCAGCACTTTGCATACCATTAAGTGATCAACTAGCTGATGTCATAGCTACGAGACTATCTACATCAAAATTTTAAGAAATTACAAGGTTGGAATGAAAAATATATACTAATCAACTCAAAGGGGGTGCTAGAAATATTTAAATAAAATTTCCTCTCACGAATTGCTTCATTAGTTTTCATACTTTAGGAATCTCTAAATTTAAAATTTTCAAATTTGTAGAGATTGATTGAAGGATGAAATCATTCTTGGTATAGCTTACCTCCCTATAAAAATATGTAATGTTACTACTGCCTTGAGTAAAAAAAACCATGAATCCCCTATTTCTACACTAAGAATGTATTTGGTGAAATGACTAGTTCTAAGGTGAATACAAATTCTTTTTAGGGGTTTTTACAATATGGAGGCTCTTAAATAATTTTATTTATCTCTAACAACTTCAAAAGATTATATTTATGCCTAGAGGCCACTGTTACGACGCCATTCCCATCTTCCCGTCCGCCTACGCTTCCATCGTCTTCCTCTTCCTCCTCCAACCCTTCTCTTCGGTCGAAGCCCGTTTCTCTCTGCTGAAGAAAATTGCCGCCATCTCCAGCGGTAGCACGGCCTCACCGTCCCCTCTCAAGACTTCTCCGACTCCTAACTTATCGGCTCCATGATCGCAAACATCGTCGACCTCCGGTAATACTTCGGCACCATCAATGGTTGTGAGCTTGTGGGTCTCGTCCACAAACCCCTAAACCCTTAGATCTCAATGCTATCAATGTCCTTAACACCCATACAATTAAGTCAGCCACATCGAGCGCACTGTCGCTGCCGATCTCGCCCCTCTCCTCGACTTGTACATCATCTCAGTCTTTGAGGCCATCGTTCCCAAGCCCCCACATAATGGCAGAAACCCTTACCGCCTTCCCTGTCAAATCCATGATGGAAGCGTAGGTGGACAGGAAAATGGGAACGGTGTCCTAACAATGACCTCAAGGCATAAATTTTATCATTTGAAACGGTTATAGGTAAATAACATTATTTAAGAGCTTCCATATATAAAAACCCTTCATTTTAATGCTATTTAAATAGTTATCATACTAAAAGCAATCATCTTTTTAAAGCATCCCGCGATTAGAATAACCCCAACTTTATATTGATTGTCAAATATCTAGTTATTTACTGCATTATTCATGTTTTATTGCAAAACATGACTAATACGATTTTATGCATGCAACATAAAATTCCTATCACAGAGCTGAACAACTGGCTAGTACCTGAATTATACTCTTGAGGTTGGAGCTGCTTGGCCCGAGCCTTATCTACCAACTCTTTCCATTTCCTTGACAATGAGTAAATGTCCACCTACAAAACATCATTCCCATTATCATCTAGAACACAACAACAAAGAGACTAAAGGTGAAAGATCATGAGAAGTAATAACCTTGTCTGCTTCTTGCAGGACAGGAGTGATAAGGCCTCCATCAATGGCAACAGCCACAGCAATGTTAATGCTGCTGTTATATGTGAAGCTCTTTCCATCTCTACAGCTACAATTAATCACAGGGTGTTTCGATAGGGCCATTGCAGTTGCCTTAGCCAACAATGCGGTCATCGTAACCCCTTTCGACTTAATCTGAAGGAAATTTCTAACACTTAAAAGCACATGGCCGAAGCTAGAAACACACACATACACACATAAAAGCGAAAAGTCTTACTTTCTTGTAAAGCTCATCGAGTGCATCGGTAGTAATAGTGTAACCAACACGGAATGTGGGCACAGAAAGGCTCTCCACCATGTTCCGCTGACAGCTCCCTGCATCGTCGTAAAGGGCACAACACTTCCCAGTTCAACGGGTGCCTTCAGGACGGAATCAGCCACGGCTTCGATAGCAGGGGCGCTCGGCGCAGCGGTTGCTACGGAGGCTGCTCCGTCAACCGCTGCCTCGACATCCTTGGCAACAATCCGCCCCAAAGGACCGGTCCCAACAACGGATCGGAGTTCCACTTTGAGATCCTTCGCGAGCTTCTTAGCATAAGGCGTGGCCACGATGCGCCGCCCGGCATCCGAAGCCGGATGCTCGTTTGAAGCTAAGGAGAGACTCGATTTTTCTGGAGGAGGAGAAGCTGCAGTAGCGATAGCAGATTCCAGAGGAGAAACAGGCGGTGAAGAATCTTCTTCCGGAAGAGCCGATGTGGAGGAAGATGCCTTGGATTTGGCTAGGGGAATCTCCTCCACTGTTTCAGCAAGAAGGGCGATGGCAGAACCAACGGTAGCGATACCTCCCTCGTCAACCATTATTGCGGCAAGGTAGCCATCGTAGAAGGTCTCAACGTCCATGTCGGCCTTGTCGGACTCGACTACACGCTCTCGCCCTTGGAAAGCTTATCACCCTCAGACTTTACCCATGAAACGATTTTTCCCTCAGTCATTGTGGAGCTAAGCGCCGGCATGAAAATCTCGCGGATCTTTGCTTCCGCCGGGCACCGGTGAACAGGGACGGTGGTAGCAAAGATTCCTCGGCGGAGTCTGGGGTGATTCGACAAGGATGGGAGGAAGGAGGAGCTGAGACGGAGCTGAAGGGCGCCGGCCATGGAGTCAGCTGGAAGAGAAATCGGAGGTGAAGAGGTTGAGGGGACGGTGCAGGTTCGGCGAGCGGGTGGATACTGCTTTTGTCTCGCTTCGGTCGTATCGAGAATCGCGGAGTTCTCAACAGGCTGCATTGATGGCTCGTATGCTTTTTAATTTTTTTTTTTTTTAAGTTATAATCGCATGAAAGAGTTTAAAAATAGGATATATGATATAATGAGGAAATTTTTTATTTTATATGACGTGTAAAAGTTATATTAGAATAAATATATTTGACATACTTTTTGAGAAAAAAATATGGTCAACTTTTCATTTTTATTGGAATTATCCTTAAAATCCTTTGTAATTATGTAATTGCTCAAATTAAAAATTAATCATATTTTTCTCCTACAAAAACCTCTATCATAATGATTCTCAAAAAAATAATCATATTTGAATAATTTCTATATTAAATATTCAATAAAAATTTTTAAAAAATAGTCGAATTTTGAGAAGACTCAATGGATTATAAGACGAAGATGTATAACTAAAGAGGCCGATTGATAGAAAAACAAAGAATTGACCAGCGAGATACTAACAAACTCGTTAATGGAAAATCAAAGTACTCACTTGACCAAAGAGTTGCCCCCTAAAATATGTTCCGGTGCTGACGGAGACAAACCGGCTGAACTATGGACTAAGATCAATCAAGCCAAGAGAATGCACTAATCCAACTCTAGCACTCAATCAGACTAAAGGAAAATAACTCATCAAACATCACATAGATGCCTTTGATGCTCTTTATCGAGAAGTCGAGGATCGACCACAATATACTCCAAGAGCAACTTGAAAGACCCTTTTGTTAAGACGCAAGCTACCCATTAGAGATTACGGTGATTCACCTTTTGCCCGACGACATAATCTTATCTTACCGACTAAAGTTCCTCACCTAGGGATCAATAGTCAACAATTGTAATATAACAATCAATCGGTAGAATCAAGCCAACCAAGCAAATTATATTTGAATCAAAGACCATCGGAAGATGGCTGACAACCACAACTCAATATAGTCAGATGACCAGACCTCACCAAGCCAGGGTTCATTGATCTTAACCGACCGAGCAGCAGAGTGACCAAACCAATATCTCATGCTTATGAAATAACTAAAATATCTCATAACACCCCCTCCCCCCATTAAATTAAAGGCATGCATATAATTACACACATTGAACCCTCCTCTCTTATAAATAGAGGAATCCTTTCTTTGTAAGGGGTTAATCAAGAATCAATTTTACTGCTCATTACTATGCACACACACACACACTCTCTCTCTCTCTCTCTCTCTTCTGTCGTACGTTTTATTCCTTGGGTTTGTCGGCACTATTTTTGGTGTGGAGTTTGTCCGTAAGAAGCTGTCGGTCATCGGAATTGAAATCCCGTTGCCCGCTTCGGAAGGACGTTAAAAAAAATTTAGTTTTGAAAAAGATGAAGTCAAACTGACCCCATAATTTTCATAGTTTAAATGGAAAAGCACTTTACCTCAAATTCTGTATCTATCCCAAAGGATGAATACAAGAATTGAGGGTGAGGCTCGATCAAATAAACTGGAGAAAGTCATGACATCCGTTTGGTCTGCGAAACCAATATATTGGCCGACAAATTCCCCTATTTAATATAAGGAATTAAATAGGGTTTATATTGTGCTGGGTTCGGGAAAAGCTTCCTATAGGGG